TAGATGCCAAATGAACAAGCACTCAGAGGGGTTTTGTCATGTGCCCAGCCCAACCAAGGACAGCGCCACTGTGAGAAGGAGTGGAGCTTGCTTCTCCACATGCCGATGCCAGCAGCCGCCATTCTCCCACGCTGCTGAGCCTCAGACAGTGGCCCACCCATTGTGGGGGCTTCAGTCTGGGGCATGCAGGGAGCTCCATCCTGTCACTTCATTACCCTCCCACCCCCTTCCTTCCACAATTCCCCCAATGCTGCTGCCTAGAGCTCCGGTGTCTCAGTGCCAGCTAAGCAGTACATTGCATGGCCCAAACACTGACCAGTCAACATCACAGAGCAAGCTGAGTATTGCTGGGAGCGATTCTGGGGAGGCCTTCCCCTCAAATAAAAATATAAAAAACACAGGGAAGGCCACTAACGTGGCTTCTGGAATGTTCGCAAGGACACAGACAGGAGCAGCTGGAAGTCTCTGAGTCCTTTTTGGACGAATTCATCTGCCCTCCCAGGAGCTGACCCAGGCGTCCCTGCCCTGCCTCTGCCCTGCTTCCACTTTGCCAAGTGGCAGGGCAATGGCTGCGGCCACATTTTTAGACCACTGTGGAACTATGCTAAGCAGGCCTTATTTCTCCCCACGAAGACGTGCTAGCAGTGAGGTAGGCTGCACCCTCTGGCCTGATACGTAAATCATACAGATAAATTCTGTGCTGATGTAATTCTACTAGAACGTCAACTTGGGAATATCTGGGTTGATGGCACTGATCAATAGATCAGAATGCTTTCACATTTCTTGTTCAGTTGTATCCTCTACCCCTTAAAAAAAAACCCTAGCAAAACACAATTGGAAACACACAAATATCTACATTTTAAAAGAAAAAATTAAGTAAATTAATTCCAAACAATAAGAGATTTGTTGTTGTTGTTGTTGTTTTCTGGCGGGACTTAAGATGTGCAGGGTTGCCAGGGAAGCCATGATAGTTTTCCTATGTTATAAATGATCACGTGATTCATACGTGTCCAACCATCACGTAAAACTTTATTCTCCATCACTTCATATGTAAAAGAGCTGTATGACAAGTCGTGGTAGAAACCAGTGTGTGGGAGTCCTATCCAGAGCAAAGACAACTAAGGTTTCAGATTTTAACGTAAGAACAAAATGGTGAACAAACAACTGCCAGTTAAACATACCTCCCCACAGCCAACTGTCCAGCTTTCACCTGGATCGCTACAGCTTCCCCCAAACAGTCACCCTACTTAAGTCTTGCCTTGATATAATCCATTCTTCATCCACAACCAGAGTGATCCTGATGAAACACAATCTGATCACACAGTCGTACATCTCAGAACTCTCAGAAAGCTTCCCGGGTCAGTGCAGACTTGCCCAGGAGGACTGGCCAAGTTACGTGGGCTACACCTTGTGATGCTCAGGGCTTATTCCTGGTTCTGAGCTCAGATCACTCCTGGCAGTGCTCGGGGGACTGCACGGGATGCTGGAGCTCAAACAGAGGATGTCGTCCCCACATGCTCTGATATTTTACATGCCATGGAAGTCACCCCTAATGACAGATTCCAAGATTAATTCAGGGGATGCATGTTAACCTGTACAGACATATATTTGAGTTTTAAATTTTGTTTTGTTATGTTTCCATAAATGTTACTATGAAACAGCGTGTGTATGGTTCTGATTTTGAAGCTAAGTTCCAAAAACAAGAGGCTCAGGAAATCATATGTTGTACTGGGGATCCAACCTGGTTGGCTGCATGCAAAGCAAGCACTCACCTGCTATATCATTGCTCTGACCCCTGGCCCCTAATATTTCTGTGACCGCCCTACCAACATTTAGTGTGACAGGCACTAGCCTCTGTTCATGCTGTCCTTTCTGTTACAAGTTAAGATTCCTATAATTCATATGAAATTCAAATGAAGGGGGGAAAAGTATACCCAAATATGATAGTCTTAGAGAAAAATTTTACACCTCTAAGACAAGTTTAGACATTTTATTAAAACAAGCAATCTCATGTAGAATTCTAAATTAATTTTCTTCTATTTTCTTAACGATAGAGCTTTTAAATTAACTTCTAATAATAAGATACGTTTAGTTCAGAAATTATTTTATGTCTATAGGAAATTAAACCTAAAATCCTCAAGAATTCGATTGTGACACTGAAAGACTTTCTTAAGGATTCAATCTCAAATAAGTACTGGATTTAGTAAATTAGTATTCACTTTTAGTAGGTTAAATAAGTTAGCTTAACTGACAAATAATTTAGTTGATCTAGTAACTTAGTAACTTTCATAATATTTACATTTTCTTAAAATAAAAGTAAATTTTCTCCAAATTTACCAAGTATTTAAAAATAGTATAAATTACAGGAGTATTTCAGGGCACTATGGGATAAATATTGCTGAAAAATAAAATGCATATTAAAATTAAAATGGCATTTCAGAAATACATTTAGATGTGTAATTTCCTCATTTATACGTATTGGATTTTTTTATAAATGAACACAACTGCACTTGAATTGAACAAAGACACATGCAATAGAATGATGTAATTTTTTTTTAAATAAAAGCATATGCCGATTCCTAATTTTCTTTCATTTATCAACTTAAGAGTTCTAAAAATTATTTATATATAGCTTTCATGTGTCTAAGTGAATTCATAGATATTCATGAATTCAAAGGAAATGTTTGGAGTCTGGGTGCAGAGTTCAAAGGGCTGGAGTGCATACCATACACTTTGGGCCCGCCTGCAGTGCCATCCCACCACTGCGTGCCCCCCCTCCCCCCAGCACTGCTGGGCCCCAACAGCACTGCAACCTCAGGTCTAAGCATCTAACTGCCAGGCCCATGCAGTGAGGTCAAGTATTATTGGGAATAGCCCCAGGACCTCCTGGACACTGCTTGGGAGGTCATCTTGCATGTAGCCAACCCAGGTTGGATCCCCGGCACCCTATATGGTCCCTGAGACCCACTAAGAGTTATCCCTGAGAGTGAGTGACTTCAAAGCCAAAAAAGTTGGTAAGGGGAAGAAAACCAAAAAATACTCATGAAAACACTTCCACAGATTAGGTGCTTTGATTACCTTGGAGTAATAAAGAAATGATTAATTTCTGAATTGAATATGGGATCCTTCTCATGTATGAGTTTGTTGCAAACAAAAGAACATACATGATTGATTAATACATCAGTACTCTAATTTCTCATTAAAAAGAACTTTGCTTCAAAATCATACATACATATGTTGTTTTATAGTAACATTTATGGAAACATGACAAAACAAAATTAAAAACTCAAATATATGTCTGTACAGGTCAAAATACGTCCCCTGAATTCATCTTGGAATCTGTCATTACGGATGACTTCCATGGCATAGGGGGAGAACACTCTCTATTTCATTTAGCTGAATCAGTATTGTGGCCCACCATCCTACATCCAGCACTTCTCTCTCTCCTGTCCAATCCAACCATTAAAAACACAGTTTGTAAAACAGGATTCCCTACATTCACTTTCTAGCTAAGTTAGTTTACCATATATAATTCTTTTTTTTTCTTTTTGGGTCACACCAAGGGTTGCAAAGGGGTTACTCCTGGCTCATGCACTCAGGAATTACTCCTGACAGTGCTCGGGGGACCATATGGGATACTGGGAATCAAACCTGGGTGGGCCGCGTGCAAGGCAAACGCCCTACCCACCGTGCTATCGCTCCAACCCCTCCTTTTTATAAATTCTAGGGACTTCACTGGTGATAGTGGAATGCGCGCGCGCACACACACACACACACACACACACACACACACACACACACAATCATGGGAAAGGCTTGGAACCAAAGCCTTTCCAAGGAATAATTTTTTCTGCTGTCTTGATACAGAACCTATCCAACAACCAGACTCGGCTATAGAGAAGAAAGGTGAAATTCAGTCAGAGCATGCAAGGACTGGGATCTGCATCTGCTTCCGATGAAGATGTGTTCAAAGCAGGGAAATTGTCCCAAGGCCACTATGTCAAGCAGTGAAGACACTGAAAGGTGATTACTGATCAGCACACATGCACACACATAAATATGCTCTTTTAACACAATCCAATAACTTCCTAAGAAATTTAACTAATACTTTCCCCATGGAAACTTGCTCAACCAAATAATCAACAAAAATTTTTTAAAGAAACATATCTCTACCCAATGAGAAAAGATGAATATTCAAATCATCCATTTGCACAAGCAGTACTGTCATCCAGGGATTAAGAAATCAATCCCAAATACCGGGAATGAAGCGAATTATCTTGCAAATGTTCAGAACAAAGTGATATTATTTATCATGACACACATTCTCTTGTCATTTGATCTGAAGGATAGCATCTTAAGAGTAAACTGAATTTATCCTTTCCCATGGAGGGTATTACATACCATAAAGTACTTATATAATTTATACTTATATTTTTTATTATCTGGGAGATGAACTGCGAATTTAGAAATACATATATATGTACACATAAATACATGCATGCACGCGCGCGCGCAACACACACAGAAAGGAAAAAAGTACTCTCAATATTTCCAAAAAAATGTACTTTACCTTTACACCAATATATTCACAAAAGCCTTTCTTATAACCTCACAGTCCTTAACATTTTATTTTAAAATATTAATTAATTAATTTATTTATTATCTTTTTGGTTCACACCCGGCGATGCTCAGGAGTTATTCCTGGCTCTGCTCTCAGGAATTACTCCTGGTGGTGCTTGAGGGATTATCTGGGATGCTGGGGATTGAACCTGGGTCGATCATGTGCAAGGCAAAAGCACTGCCCGCTGTAGTATTGCTCCAGCCCCAAGTCCCTAATATTTTAAACAAATGTATATATTCTGGTACAGAAGAAAGCAGTACTCTTAAGCTTTGAACGAAGTTACTAATATAGCAATACTGACGGTAATTCTCAGTGAACAACCTTATGACAAGTGCTTCTATTCTGCACATCTCTAGTATTTCAGGAAGTGTTTACTTACTTGGGAATATTCAAAGTCAGTGATAGGTGCTATGCTCTTGATGTAGTCTGATCGAAATTGGTTTTCTGGATTGGCCAGAGGTACTGGAGGGATGATAGTACTCATTGCTGAAACAATTGTCTAAAAAGGGGTAAAGAAAAAAAAACACAGATCAATGTAACACTTGGAATAGCCATGTAGACTGAATCATTGTATCGTTTCTGTTCACTTGGTTTTGGAAAGCAGCCGTGCTTCATTTTTCAAGTAAACACCCATTAGAGAAAAAAAAAAGGTCTTACCACAATAGCATCTTTCACATTTTTCCGAATGTCCAGAATTTTCTGTTTCTTTTCCCTGTATTAGAAGAGGATCACCATTAATTGTAAGTGATTGCCATTAATTGCAATTGCAGTTGCCTTAGTACTGAATTGAACCAGCTGAGTGGGATTCCAGCTCAGCGTGGGTTTAGACTGTTTGGGGGTTTGGGAATTATTTTTTGGTCCCTCAAGGTCAATATTCACTGTCAATAGCTGCCAACATTTCCTTTGAAAAAGGGGACTTTCCCTTTCCTAATTTTTACTATAAACGATCAATCAGGTTACACAATACATGGTCAAACCCTTGAATGCTGCATGCAAAACCGACATGTTTTGAGTGTCCCCTTATGTTGATAGTTGTAAACTATCAACATATGGGTACAGACGCAAATAAATTTTATAGAAAAGTACATACAGTGCGGGGGTGGGGTGCGGGCATACTGGTCCCAAACAAATTATATACAGACCTGTCTGTTAAGTATTGCCAGAACAACCCCTCAAGAATAGCGAATACATTACATTTGATTAGGCAAGTTATGATAATTATTTTTGGATGTAGATGCTACCAGAAGAATCCGGCTAGCTAGACCTGATTCAACAATCCATTTCTATTTTTAAAGGTCTAGCCAAGACCAGATCAAGAGCCAAGCGCTTTGGGGAAGGTTAGGAGAGATGAGCTACCATTCCATGCAGTTTGAACGCAAAACCGAAATCCATGGATGCCTTACTCGGGATTAAATCCATTGACGTGCAGGATCCTCATCTGTTTGACGATGGTGCTCTTCCCTGACTCACCAGCCCCTACGAATGAACAGAACAGAACTCTGTGTGCTGCGGCCAGAGACCCCGACATCGCTCAGCCAGCCCCGACCGAAGGGCCACCCGACCCCGCGCGGGCCTGGCGCTCGGCGCGCCGGCCTTACCCAGCAGCAGCAGGCGGTGGGTGGCCTTGTATGCCAGGCGCTCCTTCTGCAGCTGCTTCTCGATCTTCTTGTTGGCCTCGCGCCGCTCCTTCTCATCGACGCCCTGGTCCTCCGCCGTCTTACTGTTGCCCAAGCACCCCATGCCTGCCCGCTCCGAGGGATGTCAGGCGGTCAGGAGCGCGCCCCAAGCAAGCGCCGCGCGCCTCGGGCCACCGCCTGTCTTCCCGGCTGCTGAAAGAGACGCTCTCGGTGTCGCCGGGTCCGGAGCGCCCGTCCCGCGCCCTCCCCGCCCACCCAAGCCCGCGGCCCGACAGGACGCAGGAAGGCGCGCGCGGTCGGAGCGCTCGGCCGGGAGTGCGAGCATCAGCCCGGGAGCGCCACGGTGACGCGCACGGGGCGCGAGCGAGGTGGAGCCGAGCCCGCCCCGCCCCCGGGGGACCCGGGGGACCGGGGAGGACCCGGGGGGAAGTCGGGGTGGACCCGGGGGAAACCCGGGGGGTACTTGGGGTGGGGACCCGGAGTGGGGACCCGGGGAGCTCGGAGGGATTCGGGGGTGACTAGGGGGACCCGGGGTGACCCGGGGTGAACTCGGGGGGGGACTAAGGGGTACCCGGGGGGGGACCCGAGGGGGACTCTGGGGTGGACCTGGGGGTACCTGCGAGGGACTAGGGAGAACCGGGAGTGACTAGGGGGGATTCGGGGGTAGGACCTGGGGGTACCCGAGGGGGACTAGGGGGGACCCGGGGTGACTAGGAGGATCCGGGGTTCTCGGGAGGGGGAACGGGGGGACCTGGAGGGACTCAGGGTAGACTGTGGAGGATGGGGGAGATTGGGGGCACGGGGGAACGGGGAATACTCGGGAGGACCTCAGAGGGAGACAGAGGGGACGGAACTGGGTGGGGGGGCGGACCCGGGGGAGACCCGGCTGTCCTGCAGGGCAGCGAGGGGCGCGCCGCCGGCTCCGCGCGCTCGGCACCTGTCTGCCGCCCCCTCCAGGACCCAAGCTAAGCCCGGGCCCTGGCGGGTCGCGCCGGAGCCGCCTGCCGGGGGTCGCAGTGGGGCTGTCCTGGAGCTGACCTGCGTGGGGTCCGGCACGCGGGGCCGGGGCCGGGGGGGATCGCGCGGGCGCTATCGGGAGGAGGCCGGCGCCACCTGTCACCGCGCCTCGCGCGCCCACGCCCCGCGCCTCCTGCCGTCACCTCCAGCCCCCGGCTCTCCTCGGCTTTTCTTTGAACAAGCGCTAAGATTTTCTCGAAGGCACCGTGTCTTCGAACTTGTCACTGTCGCCAAGGAGCAAACGAGGGCAAGAGCCGGGTTCTCACCCCCCCCGCCGCGGCCACATTGCTGGACGTGGGGAAGGGGAAGAGAGAGGTGGGGACGCCAGAACGCAGCACTGGACAAAGATCACTTTCGTGCGACTGGGGTCACAGGTCCGTGATCTTCCAGCTTAGAAGACCACGGCTCTGAGCACAATTTATTTCTTTTTAAAAATTTTTATTTTATTTTAGGCACCGTGGTTTACATGAAATATTCCAGCACTACATCTCACCCCCAGGTGTTCACTTCCCTCCACCATTTTCTCAATCTTTTTTTCTGAAAATGTTATTAAATAAAGAACTGTGATTTAAAAGTTGCTGATAGTTGAGTTTTAGGCATACAATGTTCTAGCATCCGTCCCACCACCAGTGTCTCAGGTTCTTTCCTACCAACCACCCCCAAAACCCTTCCAGGCCCTGACAAATTCTTTTCCATGCCTTTGCCTGGCTCTGTCCCCAACTCCCCTCCCCCACCCCATTTTCCCTCAAAACTCACAGGGTTTCTCTCACTTTGCGCTGGCCTGGACATCTTAAGAGAGCAAACTCCACCCCCAGCGGGGGAGGGGGGCCACTGCTCTCTTCTCTCCCTGATCTCTGTGGGGCTCGCAGGTTGAAGTACCACACAAGGCCAGTCTCCTGTCCTCTGCCCCTCTTCTTTCTTCAGCCTTCCACCCCCCCCCCACTTTTTGAGCCTACCAAGGTTTTGTTTATTTTTAAAAATATATTTATTATAATTAATACATGGCAGTCTATTTTGAATGTTTGCTGACAGAACAGCTGAAAGGTGCTTGTGAGGGTACCATGGAGAGAGTTAAGGTCCTTGCCTTGCCGCCCACGGGGGCGGGGGTGTGTGTTAGATATCCAGGGCCCTCTGTGTTCCCTAGAGCACCACCTGAGGTAGCTGGGTGGATCCCAATTTGCTTCTCCCTTTCTGCTGGTCCATTCCGGAAACTTCCAGTATCCATCTGAAACCAACAGAGCGTCTCTCAAATGCACTAAAATATAGACGTTTCCCACTTGGTTAGACTGAGACACTAGCACAAAAGGTAACTTTCTATTGTAGACTTGGGGGCCCTATTTGGAGAGGGAATCCTCTGGCATGCACTCCAATCCTTGAACTATCTAGCTAGTTTCCCAAAGATAGATTTTTACATGTGAGATTTAATCAAGATCTGCTATAAAAGCATGCATGAGGTTAATTTGTCGTAATATATAGTAATTATACGTGTTACAGTAAAGTAGCTTCTACCAGTTATCCAGCGATTGCTGGCACTGAGTTAAATCCTTCCCGTAGAATAATTTGTTTGCAATAATCCTAAAGGAACCTATTGTCACTATTTTACAGAAGCTTAGAGGGGTAAGAGTGCTATATCTGTGCTATAAATGAGGGTTGCACTATTAGACCTGCAGTATGCTTCACCGTACAATGTTAAATGTAATATATTTTAATATATTGCAACGTCTTTATATAGCAATACAAAATGTCTTACAAATTCAAAGCCAATTTGTAATCAGGTTGGATTTGTTAGGTAGGCGCTCAAGACGTTCTCTCTCTCTCTCTCTCTCTCTCTCTCTCTCTCTCTCTCTCTCTCCTTCCCTTTTCAAAACAACAACAACAACAACAGAAAACCACTCGACCTTTTCCCTCGGACTTGGAGACAGATCCCCATTCGATCCGAATCCAGACTCCTGGCTGACTCACCTGCCAAGGCGGGGGCGGAACGCGGGGGAGAGCGGAGCAGGCTGTAGCCCCTGGCAGTGCGAGCATCTGTTGCTAGGCAACGGCAGTGCAGCGCGTCCCCTTTCGCGCAGCGCACACCCACCTGCAGCGGCTCAGGGCGGCCACAGTTGGTCCCGCGCCCACAGAGCTGGCGGCGAGGTCAATAGGTGCTCTTGCCCGACATCACCAGTTGAAAATTGGAATTGCACCAAGCTTGGGGCGAAAGGGGCAAAGGTGAAATGCCAAAGGTGGAGTCTTTTGTTGATACTGAAGTTAAGATAGGGTACTTTAGAAGTCTTCCTATATTGCAAAGTTTATTTCAAATTTATCTTATACTTAGTTTGGTGAAATTTGAATCATGAGTTTATTTTTAAACATTCTATGAATAGAGGGTATTTTGGGGGGTGGGTGGGTGGGGAACAGTTCTAGGTTTACAGAAAAATTGACCAGAAAGTACAAAGATTTCTTATATACTCTCTCCTCCCTTTGCCCTTGGGCAAATGCTGGGGATAATGCTGGATGTGACTCCCCTCCCCTGCCCTGAAAAAAGAAAGAAAAAAGAGAAAAAGTTCAAGAACTAGTCTTTCACTAGCATGTTTTTCTTTAGAGAGTTCTAGAGAACCCCCTAGGGTGCCAGGACTTTGAAATAAATATATCAAATGTCTTAAAAGAAGGGGAACTAAAAGCGTTAGAAAACGTACTCACTAAATTTTATTTTTATTAATTTATTGAGTCCTGTTGGTTTATAATAGTGTAAATGTTTACATGTTTTAGGGGTTCAGTATTAACAGAATATACCATTACCAAAGTGCAATATCCCTCCACTAGAGTCCACTGGACCTTCCTTATACACACACGCACCCTGGAAGCCTCAATTATCTGAGCAGAGTCTAAGGATTTGTTTTCACCGGGCATCACCTACTCCCTTGCTTTGCTTCTTTGTATACCACCTGTAAGTGAGATCATCTGGTATCTGTCTTCTGAATAGTTACTAACTTAATGCAATGGCAGTGCTCTAAGAAACTAAAAATTATAATAAGTTTTTCAAAAACAACAACAACAAAAACACATGGTGCAGCCAGCTTTGGTGGCTCGTTGCCTGCTAAGTGGCCAGTGTGCATGCAGCCACCATTTTACTTCCTGCCATGCATAACTTCCTGTTGTTTTACAATTCTTTCTTGGTATGTTGCTGGAAATTATCAGTGTGCGTCATTTTCTAGTCTTAGTAGCACAGACATTCCATATTCTAACTACCATACTTTTTAAGGAATAGTTTGCAAGGACCTTTGGCCCCAGAGTATAGGGGGAGAAGGAAAGAAACTGAGTGAAGGGGAAGAGGATAGAACAACGAGGGCAGGGGTCAAGGAGATTCAGGTGCATTGGTGGTGTTATGGAACGATAGAGCTAAATATCCAAACCACAGGGTCAACAGCACTAAAATCATGAAATAACTCAATTTTAACTCAATAGCTCAAATCACTCAAATTTAATAACTCAAATTTTAATAACCAAACATAAAAGATGCCTGTCAACATGACAGGCTGGACCTGGGGCAGGCTCAGTGAGGAGGAGGGGTGGCGGGAGGTAAGAGAGAGAGAGAACCTGGGGACACTGGTGGAGGGAAGTGGACACTAGTGGCTAGGTTGGTGATAGAAACCCAACTCTGAATAACTTTGTGACTCATGGTGCTTTAATAAAATGAAATTTTTGGGAAAAAACAGTTTGCAAGGGCCATGGGATTTAGTTCAAGTGGCAGAACACATGCCCAGCAGGAGTGAGGCTCCAAGTTCTTTCCCCAGCTCCAAATGGCTCCTGCGCATTGCCTAGTGCCGCAACCGGGCTGCTGGGTGTAGATCCTATAAAAAACATTGTAACAAAATTTATCCCTTTTCCTCCTAGAAAACAGTAACTTTTTCAATTTACCTTTTGTTTACTTACTACTCTACTATAAAAATCGTTGAAATGTACTGAAATTTTTTTTTTTCTTACAAAGTAATATTTGCTCCAGCGGGCCCAGTAACATCTCCATTGGAGACTTTGTTATTACTGTGTCTGGCATATCCAATACGACACAGGGAGCTTGCCAGGCTCTGCCGTGCGGGCGAGATACTCTCGGTAGCTTGCCGGGCTCTCCGAGAGGGGCGGAGGAATCGAACTCGGGTCGGCCATGTTGGCTGCATGCAAGGCAAACGCCCTACCGCTGTGCTATCGCTCCAGCCCTTTTAGGGCCTTTTAACAAAGTAATATTAGTAGCTTTTGGACCTAGCATTCATAAAGGGTGGTAAAATTATTTGTTTCACTGACAGCTTTAAAAGTAAACATATAATGGTCCAGGAAGGTAGCA